GATGGTCACAAGTCCAGTGGGGAGGCTGCAGCCACAGGCCAGGACGCAACCAGCAGTGCATCTCAGCGTATGGACAAATTCTCTGGGCCTTGGTGTCCCCATAGCTGAGTTGCAAGCCTCTATCAGAATCTTTTCAACTTAAAAAAGAAAATTCTGTAGAATTGCAGTGTCGGAAGCCTGCACAATTGGAGTCAGTCCTGGGGGAAACAAAGCAGCCCACACACGTACCCAGAGGGTGGAGTTTACCAAAGCCTCGCTGTTTGTGCTGCGTGATGCAGTTACCAGTGGCTTCTGTTTGCATCCTGCTTACCTTCCCTTGCTATATGGACTATTTATGGAACAAAAAAGTTGCAGTTTCAAAAAAAAAAAAAAAAAAAAACAAGTCCTCCCACCACTGCCACCACCACATCTCTCACACATGCACTCATGTAGAAAATAAAAGCATTTAAATGCCAGTTTTTGAAACACCTACAGCGAAATGCCCACTATGGGAAGACTGTTAGCGTTGTTGAAATTACCTAAGAATTCCAGACGATGCCTCTGTCCCAGTGGGGGTGTTCTACCTGCCCCACTGCACGTTTCTCACGTCCTCGGAGGGCAGGGGTCTGCACACGATGAAGTTTCTATGGCCCTTCTTGCTGCTTTTTCTTTGGTTGTTTAAAAGCGTGTTCTTGTACTGCAAGGGCCTGACTGCCTCACAGAATCACTGATGAGAAGTGTCTTGTCCACAAACCACAAAAGAGGGAAGCGTCCTAAGACGTGATGGGGGGCAAATTACATCCGTTGAATGCCAGAAATGATATTTCATAAAAGTGTTCATTGAGGCCGGTGCCGCGGCTCACTAGGCTAATCCTCCGCCTTGCGGCGCCGGCACACCGGGTTCTAGTCCCAGTCGGGGCGCCGGATTCTGTCCTGGTTGCCCCTCTTCCAGGCCAGCTCTCTGCTGTGGCCAGGGAGTGCAGTGGAGGATGGCCCAAGTGCTTGGGCCCTGCACCCCATGGGAGACCAGGATAAGTACCTGGCTCCTGCCTTCAGATCAGCGTGGTACGCCGGCCGCAGCGGCCATTGGAGGGTGAACCAACAGCAAAGGAAGACCTTTCTCTCTCTCTCTCTCTCTCTCTGTCCACTCTGCCTGTCAAAAAAAAAAAAGTGTTCATTGAAAAGAACAGCACAGCACCAAATGCAGACGAGCAGAATAGGACGAACCCAGGCTGACGGAGCAGGAAGCTCTAAAACTGTCTCAATGTTGAGGCAATCAAGTCTGTGTCCAGGTCACTGAATTCTCCGTGACAAATACTCCGTCTCCACCTGCTCTTCCTTCCCGGCCCCAGTCTTGCTTACCGGAAGCTCAGCTTATGTTTCTTGGCATAAACGTAGAAATCAAGTGAACTTGCAGTGTGATTTCGCACCCATCGCTGGGACAAATGTAAACATTCAAGCATCCCGAGTGTGTGGGGGTTCAGATAATACTCAGTGCCCCTTTGCAGATGATCTTGAAAAATGGATTGAACCTGCCCAAGTTCAGCGTTTTAGGACTTTGTCATGTTTTATTGAAAGAAGCTCACTTGTTCATGATGGGTTTTGCACACACACACACACAAAGAGCATTTTTCTGAAGGACCCCAGATGGTTTTGCCAGGAACCTTTTTACGTCTAACTTGTAGGACTACACATTAATCATCCTTGAGAAAAGTGAACAACAGAAACACACCCAAGCCGTACATTCTTGCCAGAGCTACCCTCACCTCCCACGGCCCCCTTCACACACCGAATTTCAGGCAGAATGAGTTGTCAGTGTTCTCACAAAACTGAAATATTATGTCGTGCCAAAATGTGTTCTCCATCGGCATGACTTTGGCGCAAAAATGTGTATCTGATACAACGTAATGATCATCTCAGAAGAACGCAGTTTGTAGTTTCTGTTTTCTAAGCCTGAGACATTTGAATTTTGCCTAGTTTCCTAACTCAGCAAATCTCTGCGGGGTGTTTCTCGCCCACGCAGGGGAACCCTGAGGGCTGCCTGGGTGTGGGGGCTGGCCAGAGCAGAGCAGCCAGCTCATTTTCTTTAGCTCAGAGCAGCCGTGAGGTTCCTGCTACTAGTCACGGAAAATGTGTTCCTGGCAGGCTTCTCTGCCATCGCCTGGAGTGGGTGCCGCGCTGGGCAGGGAGAGACTGAGCAGAGCTCCTGATGGAAGAGGGGGCATTGTCGGGGCATGGAAGGTGGAGGGCAGCAGGTGGAGGTGAGGCTAGACAAGGACAGCCTGGCCAGGCAGCGCGAAAGTCTGTGTGTGTGCATGTGTGTGTGCACACACTTGGAAACCTGTATCCACACACAACACATTGAAAACCACAAGCAAAGGTTGGAGGACAAGCCCTCATTTCCTGTGGGTGCAGGATTGCAACTGGGTTTGGTCCTTTGAAATGCTTCCCCTTAAATCCCCAGCTGTTTCTCAGCCAAACAGATGGATAAGAACGGAGCAGCCTGCGCTGGCGGTGTGCGTCTTTGTGGCCGGGAACGTGCAGGACGCCTTTGTCTTCTCCATTGTCTTCCTAGCGGTCACCGCTTCGGTGCCCAGAAACACGAAGATCGGAACGGCCAAGGGACGGGTCTTTGCTGCCGTTGGTTTTGTGTTTGATGCCAGAGGCTGCTTCAATGTTCTGCACAGATCCGAGCCGCCCCGTGTCTTAAATGCATCCCATCATCCAGCGGGTTCCAAAAAGTTTGACAGTTTTGAGATCAATGACTGTGCAAACAGAACTGGAAGAGCGGTTTCCAGAGAAATTGGGCTGAGCTCCCTGGCCCTAGAAGTAAAGTATAAGATGACTGTGGCCATCCTAGTGCTCACCGACTGCATCCCTGTGTTTTCATGTTTGTGGTGCCCACAGTGACAGCGCACGTATTTCATAGAACAGTGCACATCCTATTGCATGCTCCCAATTAAATGATTGGTGTTCCCTTTGAACAGGCCAGCACGCCCACAGCCCGGAGGAAAGCAGGAGAGACCCCCACCTCTCTCAGTCCATCCCCTGCAGTGACCACTAAATTGGAGGCGCTCTGGGGAGGAGGGTGCAGGTTCCATCCCTATTCGAGAGGGTCTCTGAATTAAGCTGTTTCTACAGGATTTTGATTGGATATATAAAATAGTTTTCAAACTGTGCGCTTCCTGTTCATTTCGAGGCACTATAACCACATTGTATCTGTTGGTAACTAGTGGTTTTCTTAGAGAAAAATCGCTGACTGAGGTTCAGCGCTGTTTCTCTCACCCACCTACAGCACGTCTCCGCCCTGTGCAGCGGCGTTGTGTCTGCTGTTTATGCCTTCTCTGAGGTGGAGAGGGCTGCTCTCGGGGACGTCCGTCTGCAAGCTCCAGACACACAGCCTGCAGACCCAGCTCATGGCTCACACGGTCGGGGCCCACTGGTCTCATGCAGACCTCCCAATATGCTTCCTGCCCCACCAGCCTTTACACCTGCCCTCCTCCTGCTCCTCAACACAGCTCACCCCCGGGCCAGACCCCCGAGCCCTGGTGCTGGTGCCTGCCCCTTTTCCACGTGAACTCCGTCCTCCTTCAAAGCATGGTGCATGGGTGCCCTTCAACACCCTCTCTGACTCACCCCTCCTCTTCACCTACTGTCTGGCAGGACGCACTTTCTAGCAGTCTTTGGTTGGCTAATCAAATGTGGTCTGCAGGGGGTTTGTCTCTGTCCCTAACACTTCATCCAAGCTCAAGGACAGACTTTGTGGAGTGGCCATCAAAGAAGGAGGTGCTTTTCTCTGAAGGGAGGAGAGAACTTCCGCTTTGCTTATGGCCCTGTCTAAATACTGGTGGAGTTTGTGGACTCAAAAGGCTTCCATAGCCAAGGCAGCTCATGTCAAGAGCCTCGGGTGATGGCTGACATATACATAAGAGTGATAATTGTTAAATTAACAACAGGAGTCACTGTGCACTAACTTCCCACACAGGACCTCTGTCCTCAAAGAGTTGTATTATAATTATGTCTAGGTGCTTGCAAAAGATTTATCATTCTTGGGTGCTTCTTTAAAGTTAATTAAGTTTCTAAAAAAAAAAAAAAAGTGAAACTAATTTCAAGATGCTATGACTTTGAACAGCCCTCGTCTCGACTGTTGAGGAACAGTTTTTTGTTGTTATTTTTGTTTTCCATTCAAGTTGTTGAACTCTCTACTTAGTGTAGAGTTTGTCTTCTGTGTATAAAGTTAATTTAAAAAGATCGTAGTGGAGAATGGGACTGGGAGTGGCAGAGGGAGGAGGAGCAGGGGGTGGGAGAGTGGGTAGGAGTGTGGGTGTGGTGGGAAGAATCACTATATTCCTAAAGTTGTATTTATGAAATTCATAAAATCTGTTTGCCTTAAATAAGAGGTTTCTTTGGGGAAAAAAATAGACTTTGTAATCCAAGATTTCTTGACACTCAAGCTCAGCACTCACAGTGGGCCCAACACACAAACAAAATCACAAGTAATCTACAGAAAGTTCACAGAAAACGCAAATAATGAACAAACTATGCATGAATTAAAAAATAAGAGGACATCTTTTTCCCAAATCTTTTTATTTCTTTGAGAGGTAGAGTTACAGAAAGAGAGAAGGAGAGAGAGAGAAAAAAGGCTTCCATCTGCAGGTTCACTCCCCAAATGTCCACAACAGCTGATCCGAAGCCAGGAGCCAGGAGCTTCTTCCAGATCTCCCACACAGGTGTAGGGGCCCAAGCGCTTGGGCCACCTTCTGCTGCTTTCCCAGGCCATCAGCAGGGAGCCGGATGGGAAGTGGAGCAGCCGGGAGGCGGCCGGCACCCACATGGGATGCCGGCGCCTGGGGCAGAGGCTTAGCCTACTGCGCCACAGTGCCAGCCCCTAAGGAGACAGCTTGTCATGCCATCTTCCTAGCAGCTCTTGAAGTCCCCTGGTGCTCCATCCTGTGGTGCCCTGTGCTCTTACCAGCTCCCAGCCTCCCACACACCTCCTGACTGTGCGATTTCCTTCCCAGGCCTACATGGAGGACCACTTGAAGAACAAGAACCGGCTGGAGAAGGAGTGGGAGGCGCTGTGTGCCTACCAAGCAGAGCCCAACAGCTCGCTCGTGGCCCAGAGGGAAGAGAATATGCCCAAGAACCGCTCCCTGGCCGTGCTGACCTGTACGTATCAACCCCAGGCCGGCGAGCAGGGGGTGGGCCACGGCGGGAGTGAGCTGTGCCTTGGGTGTGCAAAGCCCTTCCCCTCCTCGCCCCGCCACCTTTCTGTCTCACACACCTACCCCTCTTTGGACATCAGTGCAGACGCCACAAGCCTGTGAAGCCGTGCCCGGCCCAAATGGCACTGACCCAGGTGCCTCCGTTGACCCCCCGGGCACGGTCCTGAAAGCATGGGACTGGGGGCCTATGAACCCCGTGTATTGGTTTCTCTTGGAGTGGGACTTGACCCACACCTTGACCTCTTTGAGCCTCATCTTTGTAACCAACATCATGCTGTTGTACTTGAACTATTACTGCGGTAAAGACTCGATGAGATCATTCACATAGCACCAGCATAGCGTGGACACAAAGGGCACAGCAGTGGTTACTGGAGCACGTTTTTAACCTAACTTAATGTTTGTTGTTATTTCAACAAACATGATCGAGGACCTGCTGTCCCAGCAGGTGTCGTGGGTGGAAAATGGAGACACAAAGACAACAAGCTTTCTAAAGTGACATGCGTGGAGCAGAGAGGCACAGGCCGGTGCAGGATGGCAGGGAGCAGCTGGTGGGCTGACGAGATGCAGAGCCCCACGGCACATCCACGCACCTTACGCAGTCCTGGCTCTCTCCGTCCACTTCGCTAACCCCCCACGGTGTCCAGCAGGCCCCAGAAGTGGAATTTTTTAAAAATTTTATTTATTTATTTGAGAGAGTTACAGACGGTGAGAGGGAGAGACAGAGGGAAGGATCTTCCATCCGTTGGTTCACTCCCCAGGTGGCCAGAGCTGTGCCTATTAGGAGCCAGGTGCTTCTTCCCAGTCTTCCATGTGGGTGCAGGGGCCCAAGGACTTGGGCCATCTTCTACTGCTTTCCTAGGCCATAGCAGAGAGCTGGATTAGAAGAGGAGCAGCTGGGACTAGAACCGGCGCCCATATGGGATGCTGGTGCCACAGGCAGAGGATTAACCTACTGCGCCATGGCACCAGCCCCTGGTCTTGGAATTTGATAAGCATATACACCCTACCCCACTGGAGGGAAAGGGGTCCCAGGTGTCTCTGGGACCAAAGTGTCAGGTGCAAATAGACACTGTTGATTCATGAGTGATGAGTGATTGTGTGTGTTGTCAGATACTCTTAGTAGCCTTAAGACAAGATGTATTCTGGCATGTTTCAAATGCAGTGGAATGACCTTGGTCAGTCTATGGTGCTGAGGGCACAGCAAAGCCACTGTGTTAGTTCAGCATCCTAGCAATGGCAAAATCCCTGTCCACCATGGGGAAGGTGGTCTCCTTGTCACGGGGTCCCTGCTTAAGCCCTTGCAACCAATTAGGGAGACTGGCCTGGTGCCCCCCTCCCCGGGACATCACAGGACATTTTGTCCTGACAACCACAGCCTCATGGGGCAGCCCCCTCTCAGCTGGCCTGGGAGAAGAGCTACAGCTGCTCTCCTTAGCGGAAGTGAGGATGTTGACCTGTGTTTAAAGGTCAAAATAAGCACGCCCAAAGCTAGATCTTGCTTTGCTTTATTTTTTTATTTATTTATTTTTTTGACAGGCAGAGTGGACAGAGAGAGAGACAGACAGAAAAGTCTTCCTTTGCCATTGGTTAACCCTCCAATGGCTGCCGCGGCTGGCGCACCACGCTGATCCGAAGGCAGGAGCCAGGTGCTTCCTCCTGGTCTCCCATGGGGTGCAGGACCCAAGCACTTGGGCCATCCTCCACTGCCTTCCCGGGCCGCAGCAGAGAGCTGGCCTGGAAGAGGAGCAACCGGGACAGAATCCGGCGCCCTGACCGGGACTAGAACCCGGTGTGCCGGCACCGCAAGGCGGAGGATTAGCCTAGTGAGCCGCGGTGCCGGCATTTGCTTTGCTTAAGAGCAGGGGTGGGGGGTGTCCAGCCTGCGGGCCACATAAGGCCCTCGAGATCATTTGGCCTGGTCCAGCCAAGACAACAGCCAGCAGGGATTAAAATACAGAAAGTCTGTATAGGGCTGATCTTTACGTGGATAATTCTGTGTGGCCCGTGAATGACCTTAGAAATACCTAAGTGACCCCCTCATCAGCAGAAAGCTTCCCCACCCCTGCTTTAGGGACTAACTCGGAGAATTACAGATGTGAGGACGCAAGCAGAGCCACAGCCCTCAAGGAGGAGCCCGATGGGGTGGGGAGGGAGAAGGAGAGGGGAGGAGGGGCTGGTGGGCGAGGAGGCTTCCAACTGTGTCTTGAATAATGAGCTGCTTTGGGGTAAACATTCAATAGGCAGGCATTAAATGTCTCTTGTGCATGCCTGGCTGTGGACTTGGGTTATTAGATCTTTTATGGTAAATAGTAGAATTCCAAACCTGTTCTTTGGAGAACAGGCCCTCCCAGAACACAGCCGGGAGATGGGGGTCCTCCCTGTGTTCCCACAGCCCGTGTGGCTTTGGGCTCCCTCTGTGCCACGTGGACCGGTGGGTTCCAAGGCCAGGAGCTGAGTCGCGAAGCTGGAGCACCTCCCTGGGGGTAGTAGTTGGTGCTGAAGCGGCAGCCACACGAGAACCAGGGTCCCCTGTGAGGTGGAGCTCTCTGCCTGCCTGTCCCCAAAGCAGGGGACACAGTGTGAGGAAGCAGCACCTGGAACTTGACCCACACCACCCTCCGAGGGTCCTACCTCCAGGGGTGAGCCCTGCCCGGGATGCTGAGCTGTGACAAAACACCGCTGTTGTCTGAGATTGAAAGCTCATTTGGAGGAGACAGGGAAGGGGAAATACCCTGGTTGGGACAGCCCCAGATACAGTATTTTCATGAACAAATGGTTTATTTGAGGGAACTTGTTTTGCCTGCTTTGCCTCCTCAACTTTTAGGAGGAAGTCTGACCACCGGGTGCCGATCTGCATCCTTCCCACGCAGGGCACTAGAGGGAAAAGGCACCGCTCAGTATCATCAGTATTCCCTCCTCTCTTTCTGAAAGCCTGGGTATTTTTGTCTAGGTACTGCAGAGCGGGCTCTGTCTAAGAGCTGAGAAGCCTGGAGTGGTGTTGGCTTCCACCTGACTCCGTGTTCCTATGTCGGGAGACCAAGCCGCCCGCGTTCTCTGATGCACAAAAGAATTAGAGGATGAGGCACAGAGAAAGACCAGCGGAGGCAGGAGACTTCTCAACGAGAAGTGGGAAGTACACACTGCAGAGCGAGTGCGGCAGGCTTTAGAGCGAGCTGCATGCCACGAGATTTGGGGTCATCGCCTATATGATCCGGAGGCGCAGGGCTGGAGTTTCCCACAAAAGGGAGGAGATTCCCAGGAACTCGGTGACTGCCCACCTCCTGGCCCTTTAGGAAGTCTTGGAAGTGTCATGGCATCAGGCACGTGCCGGGAGTGGGCGTGTTGGCCATGGTGGTTTTGTTATAGTGATGGTATAATAGGCTGTAGGTCAACACAGGACACGGCATTTGCATGTTTTCGTGGGGCACCCGTTCTCGGAGGCGAATTTGCAGGTTGCTGGCCTTGGGAGCAGTCGTAGGAGAGGGTGTGGTGACATTTTGTGCTGTGCCTTTCCTGACCCTGCTACAGACAAGTGAGACAGCAGATGACTTTGGATTCCTTGTACCTGGAGATTCTATCTACATCTGGATTAGTTTTGTTTTTTTGTTTTTTTTTTGTTTTTTGTTTTTTGTTTTTGACAGGCAGAGTGGACAGTGAGAGAGAGAGAAAGGTCTTCCTTTGCCGTTGGTTCACCCTCCAATGGCCACTGCGGCCAGCGCACCATGCTGATCCGATGGCAGGAGCCAGGTGCTTCTCCTGGTCTCCCATGGTGTGCAGGGCCCAAGCACCTGGGCCATCCTCCACTGCACTCCCGGGCCACAGCAGAGAGCTGGCCTGGAAGAGGGGCAACCGGGACAGAATCCGGCGCCCCGACCGGGACTAGAACCCGGTGTGGCGGCGCCGCAAGGCGGAGGATTAGCCTAGTGAGCCGCAGTGCGGGCTGGATTAGTTTTCAAACGAGAAGATAACTGATATTATTAGGTGCTTGGATACCACTATGCTAATTACATTATCTAGTTACATTATCTCAGAAATTAAAGAACATACTATGTTCTTGTAAGTTTCTTGCAAGTTTAAAAAGTCGTGATGTAATAGTGTGCTAATCTGCTTGGGAAATTAAGAACAGAAATGGGATGGTATTTTGTTACGCAGTCCTAAACAGCAACAACAAATTGGCTTTTTGTTTAAAGAACCAAATAGGAACAACTGAGAGAAATATGCAGAGACAGACAACGTTAAAAGAAACACTTTGAGGGAGACAAAAGCAGAGAATGAAGAATGGAAGCCCAGGCACACGGAGAGAGAAAGGGGCCACATAGCGTTCGCGTGTTTTGGCTTATGAGGCCGTTGTGACTAAAGAGCTTACAGCTCCATTTTCTAACCAGAGGTCCGGCTAGTGGTGTCTCCCCGACCCTCGCCCTGCCCAAGTGATCAGATGAAGATGAGAGCTAACCTGACTCGCTGCTTTGCAAAGTCAGGCTGCCGGGGAGGTGCACAGCACCCAGCCGCACCTGGTCAGACCCTCGGCTGTGGTCTGCCATGCCCAGAACCATCAACATAAATGCTCCAAAGGAACCAGGAGCCGCCAGCATGCTTCCCCCTCCAACTGGGCTTCCGTAGTTCTAGGGTGTGCTGGCTCATATCAAAGCTGCAGCCCACTGAAGTCCAGGGTCTTTTCCCTAAGGATGGGTTTCAGGCCCAGGACCTCCCTAGCCTCTGTCCATCCTTACACAGTCGAATTTGTTGTTGCCGCTCCCCGTTTTCGTGGAGGAGCGACACAGGACCCTGCGCTGTTCTTTCTGTCTGCTCGGCCCTCCCCGGGTTTGCTGCTGGTTCTTCCCGGGTTGGCTACTATCCCTTCCACCTCCGTGGAAGGGCAGTTCCCCCTGGCCACATTCCCCACTTCCGCAGGGGAGCGGCACACCGCCGGCCGGCTCTTCTCGG